CTCTTCAATGTTAGTTGAACGTTCTTCAACAGAATTCAACGTTAGTTCCACAACACAATACACACGGTGGATTCTTTTGAAAATGGCGAGAGCACAAACTCAGGAGGTTCAACATTCCAGCGGTGAGCTGCTCTGTGCCACTGCCTTAAATAGCAGCTGGGGAAATCAGCCAGATCAGCAGCAGGTGGAGACAATCACACAGGTGCGTGGGCCAATAGCGAGAGCCCGTAACGAGCTCCACCCAGGCAGAGAGGAGGAGGAGAGACAAAGAAAACAAAAACAAAAAAGAACAACAACAACAAAACCTGTAGCCAGTGTGAGCCAACCAGAGAGACACGGGGACCTTCGCTTAGGTTCATCTTAAGTATTCGCTTGACCCAAAATTAGCCTGTATTTATCCTAACCTTAAACATTATCCTAACTTCCCCTAACTTTAATCTAGTCAAGGATTACTCCTTCAATGATTAACATTAATCTAACATACCCCATTAGATTTCCCCCCATTTTCTGATTTCTTGATATAAATCTGCACCAAAACTTAAACTCCTCTAAGCTTGATGCTACTGTACTCTTGTCCACCAGATGTCATGGCGATCATCCTTTCGCTGCTCAAAGTTTCGTCACATTTTTGGAAAGTCTGCCACCAAGGAGCACAGCTACGACGGGGTGCCAATCACGCGTAGTGTCCACGACAACCACTACTGCTCAGCCAATCCCTGCTTCATCGCTGTGGTGACTGAGTGCACGGGAGGCGGGTCCTTTTTAGTCCTGCCCATCCATCATGTACATAGGCCTTTTTAATTTAATTTCCTCTGAATTAACATAATAAAGGATAAAAAAAATGGGGAAACCTAAAGTTTTAAAATAGTTTCATGTTCTCTCTCTCAGACAGGCAGAGTAGATCCTCAGCATCCGAGGGTTTGTGGCCACAGCGGCAGAGTCCTGGACGTCAAGTGGAATCCATTTGATGATTACTGCATCGCCTCATGCTCAGAGGACTGCACTGTATGGCAGTTAGTTAACGACTAACTAGGATTAACTTTGGAATTCGATTTAGGATAAGGATGGGGTTAAATTATTGGGAATTATATAACGTTTAGTGTACAGCACATACACTTTGGTCCTGTGCATGTATTCAGGTGAAGATCTGGGATATCCCAGTCTGTGGAGTCCAACAGAACCTCACCAAGGCCAGGAAAACCCTGATTGGCCACTCCAGAAGAGTGGGGCTAATTGAGTGGCATCCAACTGCTGAGAACCTTCTGCTAAGTGCTGCCTATGACTACAAGGTCAGTGCCAATCATATAACATTCTGGCTTAAATGAGCACCGTATTTTTGTTAAAAGAAACCGTCTTTGCTTTTGTGTTGTATTCAACTTCCTTCAATATATCTTATGAACATAATGCACAGAAATCTTAAAGAAAAAGCCAGTGGTTGGCATAAAACGTTTTCTATAATAGACACCTTACAGGATTGAACCAGTAAAGAAAGTATCAACACAAGAGAACCAAATGTTAAAGAGCTACACTCTACAATCAGTAATTCCAGTGCATTTAGGCTGCAAAACAGATGTGAATTTGTCTCACTTACTGCTCCAGGTCCTTCTCTGGGATGTATCCCAGGCTGGTGCAGTTATCAGGTATCCAGTTCGGGTGGTGCTGATGCCCATCCACCACCGCTACCCATCTGAGGCACTGCTGCTTTCAGTCAGCTTCAACACTGATGGCAGCAGGCTGGCAGTCACATCCAAAGACAGACACGTTCGAGTCCTGGACCCTCGGACAGGAAAGATTTTACAGGTATGATTATTGTATGTGAATGCGAGTCCTGACAGAAAATTGCCAGGAAGGTAACTGATACTTCTGCAGGTATCAAGCAGTAGCTCACACAAGGCCAACAAAGTTTTATACATCGGGGGGTTGAAGTTGCTTCTGTCCACTGGCAGCTCATCTTGGAACCACCGGCAGATCGTCCTGTGGGACCCTGTAAGATAGTTTTTTTTCCCTTCAACTGTAATCTGAAACTTAATCTAAGCTGTGCTTGTTCTTAAACCTGAATCCAATTACCAGCATTTTCTAGGAGTAAGAATACTTGGGTCGTAAGACATGATTAAAAAAGAGATTGCTGAAAATGAGGCACATAGACAAAAACAAATAAATATATAATAAATATATAAAATTAAACAGCTGATAATAAAAACTGCTTTCTTGTGAAATGATTTAAGAGAATCTTACTGGAGAATTAATTATATAACTGTATATCTCAATTGAGCAACTTTTGCATATTTTAACTTGATTTTTTTTTCCTTTACAATTTGCTCTACATTCATTCCCATATGTGTTTTCATGCAGGATGACTTATCTGAACCCTTATATGAAGAAGATCTGGATGGGTCTGCTGGAGTACTCTTCCCATTTTATGACCCAGACACACACATGTTGTATCTGGCTGGAAAGGTCAAAAAACATAAACTGCTTATGGCAAAATGTGCCGTTAAATTTGAGTAATCATCATCAAGGAGGTTTAGCACCACTGTATATGTTGTATTTATGCTTGTAGGGTGATGGAAACATCCGGTACTATGAGCTAAGTGCTGAAAAACCTTACATCAGCTACCTGACTGAGTACAGGTCCCTGCTCCCACAAAAAGGACTTGGTGAGACCAACACACACCCATAAGTGTGTTAGCTAGTAAATGACATCATTTATACAGCTGCCAGTCCAGCTTTGTTCCAGCTCTCACCTACAGTCATGAAATCTGGGTAATGACCAAAAGAGGAAAGTCATAAAATGCCGTCCTACAGAGGAAAGTCATAAAATGTCACAAAATAAAAGAGTAGGTCGACTCTCCCTAAGAGCTAAGGTGAGGAGCTCAAACATAAAGAGTAGAACAGCTGCTCCTCCATGTTGAACTCTGGGCATGCCCAACTGGGTGGAGACCCTGGAGTAATACCTGCTCATCAGGTAGAACCAGAACAAGACGGGGCCAAAGACCCTTCTAAGTCTACTCCCACAACGACCCAAACTCAGATAAGTGGAAGAAAATCAGCGATAGATATTCCTCCTTTTCCAACTTATCATGAAGTCACGCAAATTCTGGCTTCATACTATGACAATTGGGAATCAGGTGAGCCTGGTATCAAAATGTACGTAAATAAGAGAGTTTTGAGTTTCCATGACTTCTTCTGACCAGACATCTGATCACATGGTGACATGACCCTTTGGATTTTTACCCAAAATGCTGTTTGAGTCAAACTTGGGTAAATCATCAAAGCAGATCAAACATGCTTGTCTCTTTTACTCTCTCACAAACATTAAATTGGTTCCATTTTGTTATTATAACTATCTGATATTCAAGGATATTGGTTCTTTGATTGGATATGAAAAAAATCATAGAGCATTGTGATCCTTTTGAAGTGGATGTAACAGTGATTTGGTTGCAGTTTTTAACAAACCTAAAACTTTGTATCGAACTCATCATCTATACCTATACTCATTTCAAGGTACCGACACAATTTTAAGAAAGCTTGTCTAAGTTCATTCACAGGCACTTTGATGCTGATCTAACAAACTTGACTTAAATGTTGACTTTGATGGATAATTTCCTTCACTGTTTCAATGCTACATCCTGCGGTCATGTTAACAGCTGGAAGACACCAAGAGCCAAGCTTCTGCCCCAACAACTCAACAAATGTTGGTCAATCGTCGTCTTTTCATGCCTGTTGGTCATCCTATATTTCTCAAACTGTCTTATGTCTGGTTGCAAGACTGTTAAGGCATTCTATATAGGACCAGTCTTCTGCCTGAAAAATCCATGCCTTGCTCCACCACCCTCTCACCAACCTTTAAATATTGATGTTGTCGTTCTTTAAAGTCTAGACTTTCATGTTGTAATGATAGAAAAAGGCAAAGAGTTTAGTGCCACTTAGAATATCCACAATACTTTATGACACAGGACTAAAATGTGTTTTGACGTCTGACTCACTCCAGGGGTGATGCCAAAGCGTGGCCTAGATGTGACCGCCTGTGAGATTTTCCGGTTTTATCGCCTGATTGCCATCAAAGACCTGGTCGAACCGCTGTCCATGATCATACCACGCAAAGAGGTTGGGATGATGTACTTATCTTGAGTATAATCAGAGTACAAGAAGTATTGGTCCAGTTTTTTTCTTGTTCCTTCCAGTCAGGAATTTTTCAAGAGGATCTGTACCCAATGACAGCTGGAAACCAGGCAGCCATGACCGCTCAGGAGTGGCTGTTGGGGGTCAACAGAGGTCTGTAACCTACCTGGGCCATCAGGTACACTAAAGATATTTACTCTCTATAGATCATTCAGTTTATCACTGATCTCTTACATTTCCTCACCAGGCCCAGTGCTGATGTCCCTGAAACCAGACCCTCGAGTACCCAACCCTTACCCAGAAACCCCAGCTGAGAAGGGGCTGGTGCGGCAGCTTAGCTCCCTCAGGTTTCAGAGCAGCCCGGCTGCAGTGACAGAGATAGGCCAAGACTTTATAGAGGTAAAGTGTGATCTGGTTATTTTACCTGACATTGCAGGGTGAAATATACCAATCTGGGGTGCCTTTTCTTGATTTTAAAGTGGTACACAGTTGTGTGAAAAAGTGCTTGGTCCCTATCTTGTTTCCTGTTTTTAAGTATGTTTTTTCACACTTAAACTTGTAACAGTAAAAGTCTGTAAAAATATCTGTAAAGATCACCAGTTATTGTAAATACTTGATTGGTGTTGTTGCTGCTAAGTATGGCCCAACAGGTTATTAGGTTTAGGGGGCAATCACCTTTCACACAGGGCCATGTAGGTTTGGATTTTTTCCCTTTAATAATAAACACCTTCATATAGAAACGGCATTTTGTGTTTACTTCTGTTATGTTTGCCTAATATTTAAATTTGTTTGATGATCTGAAACATTTAAATGTGACAAACCTACAAAAAACAGGAAACTGGGAAAGAGGGGAAATGTTTTTTCATGCCACCGTACTCTTTTTAGAAACTTCTGTTTTCTTTAGACAAACTAGGAAATATGTTTTACTACAGTAACTGTCACATCCTTTGAAACTGACCTGAGCCTTTTTTGGAGAGTAGTTCTCTGATACTTTTGTTGCTGTTCTCTGTTGAGGTTTTTCTGGAGGAGCAGCTGTCCTATCAGGATGCCAAATATCCCAAAGATCTGAGCGATCTGTCGGGGTGGCAGCCAGACGAGACCCAGGTCCCACTGTGGACATACTGCTGCACCCCGCACTGCTGCGAGCCTGCCGAGAGACCGCCACCAATGACCGAGAGTGAGGTTGGATAAATAATAAAACACTTCAGAAGAGTGTCTCCTTCTCTTGCACACAAACTCAGTCCTAGTTTTTTCTGTTTCAGCTACTCCAGGCATTTTACAAGCAGCAGGATGAGATCAGAGGCCTGAAGGAGGAGCTCCATCAGAAAGACGTGAGTTCACAAACAGTACGTTATCAGAAGTTCTTGTCAGATACTTTTTTATATTTTTGTATTTTCACGTTCTGCAGATGAAAATTGCTCAGCTGGAGCAGGATATCAAAAACACCAGAAAGAACATGAGAGCGTCCTTCTGATTCAGACCCTGCTGTGTAGGAGGGGCTTACAGAGACAGCGTGACTCACAGACAGCGGAGTTATCCTCCACAGACTGGACTTTGTAGATGAAGCCACAACTCTTGTTTTCCTAAAATTCCTGAAATGGTTTATTTGGGAGCAGAGACTATTTTCCTTCATACTTCACAAACTACCTGAAACACAATGGTCACCATCGAATATAAGAAACCCTGCGTCTGGGATGATGGGATGCAAAAATGCTAATTTCTTAAAACTCTTGAATTAAAGCTGTCCAAATACTTATGGAGCTAAGTGTAATTATGACCACATGCAAGGTGCAGTGATGTCAGGCAGCAGACACACACCACCTGCTCTAGTGACTTTTACTGGTGCAAGCAGGTTGGAAACAATGGAAGGGGCAGAAGGACACAGCAGATCTTCTTGTTAGCAGTTTGCAAACTAACTTCAAGGGTAAGATACATGACCTTGCTGTTTTGGTAGGCCAAAAGAGCTAAAATGCATAAATCGCAAAACTCATGAAAAACACAGTGTGAGTGTGCAAAAAATGTTGAATGAAGTTTGGAACTGGACTGCATGAAAATGTTTGATGTAGTCACCCAGGGTTTCTGGACTCTTTGAAGCCTCAGTCCTGGTGTTTCATTGAATACTCATTAAAATGAATGTAAGACCAATAAAATATGAGTGTTTCCCTCAACAAAACTGAAGCACTATTCGTTTTGGGTGGTCTGCAACACACATAGAGCCATATCATTAGTCAGGTAATTACATTATGTAATATTGTGCTCCAGATCAGCACACACACAGCTCCCGTGTGCCGGAAATTTAGTTATGAAGACCAAAAATGTGTTTCGCACCAGGCTGTAAATGCTCTTGTTTCTGCTTTAAAGTTTGTGATGAGTGACTCACTCCAGTGGCCATTAGAGGAACTGCAGTTTTCTGACTTAATCGTGTTTCATATTTAAAGTTGATTGATCTGTGACGTCACATCAGCTTGCGGAAATAAATATTTTAAAATCCAGCACAGACCTGACACAGAACGTCAAAGATGAGAAAAGGCTGAGGGACAAAAATCAGAACTGGACTGATCAATCAGTGAAAACAGATCTGATGGAGTCATGAATCTGATCTATAGAAGAACATGGGGCGGCTCTGTTATGGTTTTGCTCTGCATTTCAGCCTGTGGGGTTCTTGTCACAGAACCATTTGGTCCACTGTGTATATGTCCGCACAACTGCAATTGTGCTAAAAATTGGCCAAAAAATTCAGTCAGCTACATCAGTGTTTACTATCATAGCCAAGTGGCTAACAAACATAAACAGAAGTTTTCACTATCCGTACTAATTAATGTTATCTTGTTGTATCAGGTCAGTGCTATCCTCTATACTGTTGCATGCTGGCAGCAGGTTGAGGGTCACAGATGCCAACAGACTAAACTGACCCACAAGGCCAGTAATGTTGTGGGGATGGAGCTGGACTCCGTTAGGGTGGTGTCTGAGAGGCAGATGTTGTCCAAGATAAGGACAATTATGGATAATACCTCCCACCCACTCCATGACACATGCTGGCTAGTCACAGGAGCACGTTCAGTGAGACTGAGATTCCCAACAAGCACCTAACCTCTGTTAATCCTTGATATGTATAATTGAGTGATCTGTATATATTAGTGCGGGTTGGTTATTAGATGCTGCTCCAACCAGCCAGTGAATAACCCGCTGCCCCACCCTCTCATCCCTGTGCCCCAAGCAGCAGGTGCACCTCGCATACGGAGGGCGCCCTTCCAGTAAGTGGCCGATAGAAAATAGAGCGGTGCCTATGCCATTCCCAATATGCGCTCATGATGTCGGGGCAGCATGAGAACGAGCAACTTTTTTTGCCGATGCCCGTGATGCCGCCCTGGGCAACTGCCCATGTCACCCATGTCAAAAACCGCTACTGACTGTGAGCAGCGCTGGCTTTAAAAGACTAAACGAGACGGGGGGAGACGAGGACACAAGAGCCAGGAGCAAAATGTTAAGATTTTATTTACAAAGTCCTTTTTGTATGTATTTTTTGTTTGCTTTCATTTAACTTACAGAAAGTAAAACACAAAAAAACCAAAACAAAAAGAAAACAACCTCGACTAGTCAGTGTAAGCTTGAAGGAACATCTGGAGCTCTCTACTGAGGAGACAGAAACTAAAGGAGGCAGAAAGAGGGAGAGGGGGGAGGAAAGAGGCAGAGCGTTTCCCCAGACAACCATACAAAAATTAAACAAAAACAAATTCCTCTGAAAAAATATTTCTTTTAAAAAGCTCTGTTGGCAAAAAAAAGACAACACGGTTTGCCCTGAGCAGGTTTGGCCTTGGCAACAGGAAGAGGGAGGAGGGTGGGTAGCTTTTTTTTGTTTTTTTAACATTGGCTTTAACACAACGATGTCATCAGAGCGACGAGCTACATCACAGACCGATGACATCAGGGAATAAGGAAATGGAGTTGGGTTCAGATTTCATTAATTCATTTATTAACTCATGTTTTTATTGTCTTGTAAAAAAATAAAATAAACCACGCCCACATGCAATGGAAAAAAAAGTTAAGGAGAGACATTTATTCTCAGGAGGAAGAGGAAAACTGACGTAAAGTCTGCAACGTTTTGTTTTTTTGAGCTTTTCCAGACTGGTGATGCATTTACTGCCCACAAACAAGAGTTGGAATTTAGAGTTCAGATGGTTTCTTTCCTGTTAGCACAAGTTTAGGTTGTTTCCCCCCCCCCCCATTTTAAATGTAAACTGTGATGAAACAAACAAATAAACAAATAAAAAACTGTCTAGCTGTATATTCTGATGGAAGATTTGCAGGTTTCCAAAGAAGGCGAAACATCCTCTGGTTCCAGCTTCTAAAAATGTGAGAATCTCTCTGCAGCTTCTTATTTTAATAGCTAAACAAACTCTTTTATACAGTTGATGGTGGGACGAGAAAACAGATACTTTTCTGTTAAAGTGTTTTCTTCTTTCCTGAGTTCACAAAAAATAAACGTGCTGCCATTAAACCAAAAGAATAACACTGCGGCAAAAACAGAGGACTAAATGGAGGCTGTAAGTTGTTGATGACAATGGGAAAAAAAATTTGGCTCAACTTGTGGAAATGAAAGTATTTAAAAAAAAAAAAAAAAAAAAGCAAAACAAATAATTAATGAGGCGTTTTAGACAATAACGGATGTCAATTTGGCAGGCGACAAGCGAGGAGACCAGAGTCAGAAATGGGACGTGGCCCAGAGTGAAAGTGGGAGGAGGCAGAGGGGGAAGAATTGGCAGCAGGGATGAGACATTTAGACTGAGTGGATAAGAGGTCAGCAGGGTTTGCGGGGGTCAGGGAGGGGTCTCTGCAGGCCCTCATTCATCATCGTCATCATCATCCTCGTCCTCGGGGTCCCTCTTCCTCTTTTCTCCTTTGGCTGGAGACGAGTCCTCATCTGCAGGAAGAACAATGGGAGTCTTTTATTTGGCTGATTAGTTACTACTTGGCTACACCTGACTGAACCAACTCAACACACACCATCAGATATAAATGAGCGTTCGAGTGTTCCTCAAAACAAAGAGAAGTAATAGTGAAGAAAAATACAGGTTTACTCACCATCCTCTTCATCTTCATCATCGTCTTCTTCCTCGCTGTCCACATCTCCGTTCACCTCTCCATCCTGCAGGGACAAAGACTGCTGATGCAAACTCACAGTGCCTCTTCCGAATCAGTCGGAAAGTCAGAGTTCCCAGTTGGAAATGTGTTGTGGAACGCTCCCTCAACTCGGGATTACCCCGCTCGGAAAGTCAGAGCAGACTAATGTACCACAAGCTAACAATCAAAGTTTTACTAGTGTTTACTGAACGTAAACTGTGAACATTTAAACTGTACTGCAAAAGCTGTGTATTTTTGACCGACTCAGCCACGCGCAGAACACTGACCAGCCTCTACTCATGAACATGAGAAAAAGCATGATGATGTTTTACTAGTGACGCCTGAATGGTTTTACTTTGCTAAGAACCAAACAAATCCTGCCTTTCGTTGCTTTTACTGGAACCACCTATAGTGTGTGGGGTTGTTATAGCAAACTGTGCTTGGCATACAGCTTTTCGTCAGACTTTGTGTACGTGTTTTCTCGCCGTATTGTTTTTAAGTGTAGTCAGTTTCCTTTCTTGTTATCAAACATGACGACTTTTAATTTTCGTGAACAAGAATTAAGGAGACCCTCTCCTGACTCATCAAGCGCACCACAAGCTTCCCTGTTCCTTTCCAAGCAATCTGTGTTTAACCTACAGACACCTGTCGGGTTTTGGAGGACTACATGAAAGCACATGTGTGTACCTATAAACAAACAGAGCTGTTGTATTATAAATTATCCATATGGGTGTTTACACAACTGCACGGGTCTCCTGGTGGGAGCCAACCTGCCTCCAACCAATCCCAGCGTGCCTGCAGTCACTTTGTCGAGGAGTTTAGAATTAATTATTTATATATGCAGACAGATTCCCAACATGCTGCAAACACTGAGCAACTCTTGTGTCCCTGAATGCAACCTGTCTGCAACACGTCTCTGTGCAGTATGGCACTTAACTGGTTGCATTCTGGTTACATTTCTGAGGTTCTGCCTGGACTTTTCAGAGATTCATCACGAACTGTAACATGTAAACGCCAACGTAACCTCATTAAATTGCAGATTGACTCCATCTTATTGTAGTCTTAATGCACCAAATTCACAGGACAGAGGGCATTTGACTGTGATGCTGTGATGAAAGTGGTTTTAGACAGCATGTGGAGGACAGACGAGCAAATACGTCACAGATAAACAGAAGACACTTCGCATCTCATTTCCCCTCCTTTCATCGTTCTTCAGCATTTCTATGTAAATGTTACTGATTTAACTCCAAACTCACCTCATCACCGCTGTCGTCGTCTTCGTCGTCCTCCTCAGCCACTACGTCTTCTTCATCCTCCTCTTCCTCTTCCTCAAAGTCCTCTGACTCGCCCTCTGCAAAATAAAAAGAACTATCTTAATATTACTGTCGCTTTAATTTTCTCTCAGTTTTCTAGAAATCAAACCTTCACCTTCTTCGTCCTCATCGTCGACGCCGTCTCCCTCGCCCTCGGAGTCGGAGGCCTCGCAGTCGTCGATGTCGTAGCCGTCCAGGTAGGTGAGCTGGGGGAGCAGCTTGAAGATGGACTCCCTGTAGTCGGCCAGGTTTGTCACCTCGCAGTTAAACAGGTCGAGACTCTTCAGCTGGGGCAGCTTTTTCTGGAGGGACAAAGACGGACATCCGATCAGTTTTCTGAAAACATTTTCAAAGAACTAATGAAGAAGTACAAAGTGCTGCCCTCGTTTGGCTACAGCACACTGTGTGCAAGTTTGCTTTGGACATAATACTGACGACCCACAGCTCGTGCACTATTATGTCACTACAAGCTGAAACTGCATTATGGACACCTGAGACCAGCACATATATTGTATACCTACATGTCAGTATAAGGATAACAGAGCTGCTGACTGTTGTCCATGTTGGCTGTTACTATAGAAACTGTTTGTTTATATATACATATATAAATGTGTTTGTGTTTCATGCTGTTATATGATTTACTGATGGTTACAACCTATTCACATACAAAAGCACACAGCAGTGATATGTCACTTCTTTTTTAAATAACGATGTAGACTCCACCCACCAGCGGCTCCAGGGTGCTGATGTCTTTGAACTTGTTCCCACTGAGGTTAAGGTGCGTTAGGTTCACCAGCCGCTCTGCCAGGACCTCCAGACCACCTGATATCCTGTTGTCACTGAGCTCCAACTGCAGAGACACAAAGAAAAGCTGTGAATCAAAAAAATCAAACAGAAATATA